GACAGCGGTTTAAGCGCTCTGCATAAATTGAAAGTCGGAGACAATGTTGAAGCAAGAGTCTTAGATACAGATAAGATTAATCAAGTAAAATTCACGCTGAGACAATCACTAATAAAGAGCAAATTGCCAGTTTTACATGATTTTGGCGAAGCCAAATGCGGATTAAAATGTCATGGTACAATCAGTATAATAAATAAGAATGGTATGTTAATAAGATTTTACGGAACGGTAAAAGGATGGGTCCCACGCATTACATTAAATAGTGATACGTATGATAGGAATTGGAATTTTTCCGTTGGACAGACAGTTACAGTGTGCGTTGAATCAGTAGAAAAAGATAAATGTAGAATGACATTAAGAATCGTTTCCGAAGAAGAGAAACAATCCATTAGCTTGTCGATTGGAGATATAATTGAAGGAACAGTGTCGGAATCGTCTATTAAAGGAATATATTTGAAGATACAAAAAGAAGATAACGAAAACATCATGACAGGTTTCTTACCATCGGGTCATATGGCTCCATGCATTGAAGTCGGTAGTTTACTGGCATCAAGATGCAGTCCTGGAGATGTAATTTCAGCTTTCGTATTTGCCACAAAACCGACTATAATATTGTCACGCACTTTTACGACACAAAAGAAATATACAAGCTTTGACTTATTAAAAGTAGGCGATTGCATTCCCTGCACAATTCGAGATATGTCGCAAGATGGCGTAAGAGTTATCTTGCCGATCGAAAATTATTGTAAATTTGGATTTGTACCATACAAGAACGTAAGCAATTTCGAGATGTTACATACAAATCAGATATTATTCGTTAAAATCACAGCTATCAATACGCGAGAGAAACAACTGACTCTAACATTGTCACTGAAAGATATATGGGACAGCCCATCTGAATTCGAAGTCAAGATGATGGCAGCGGTGGATGTCTTGAGTTTGTACTTGAGCAAATTATCAGAGCTAGCAAAAAACACTTTTTACGAGAACAAGCCGATCTCTTCGGCAATTTTAGGTCAAAAAGTTACTGGTACTGTCAAGAAGATAACTGAATACGGTCTAGTGCTTCAGTTAAGCAATCATTTGATGGGTACAGTACGCAAGGATCATTATTGCGGCAATCCTCAAGTGGGGGACAAAGTGTTTGGTACAATTCTGTGGAAAGATTATATCCATGAATTTGTCGACGTGTCTTTGCTACCGAGAATAATAAACAGCATTAGTTCGAAACAAAAATCACTAGCAGAATTACCCACTGGAATCGCACTAAAAGCAGAGATTCTAATGATTACTAAATGGTTGATACTTGTTCTCGTGAAACGTAACGGCGCAGGATATTTGGCGGCATTACCTGTCCGTCGACATGTGAATGACAATTTTCCCGATCTAACACCTTATAAAATTCACGCTAAGATTCGATTGTACGTTATAATGAAGAGAGCCGAATCTGATGTTATACCGATTTGTATGCTAAAGTCTGCATTTGAAATTCCAAAAAATATGATCGTAACAGAACTATCTTCTACGAAGAACAAACAATTGAAGAGAAAAAAGATGTCTGAGCGACACGATGTAGAGCTTGTAAATTCACCAAAGAAATCACCACTTAAGGAAGCTTCGAAGGAAGCTTTGAAGAAAGTGTCGAAACAAGTCCCGAAGAAAGAAAATAAGAAAGAAAATAAAATGGAAGTCGAAGAGGAGGAAAATAAAATAAAAGATATAGATGAAAATTCTCTCTCTGAGTCGGACGAAGATTCTGTCGATGAAAGTGAAATGAAAGTGAGTAAGTTAGCGGAACGATTGCATGTTTCGGAACTTGGATTTTCTTGGGACGACAAAGCAAAAGTGGCCGTTTTTTCTAATGTTGAAACGTCTAGCGATGACGAGCAAAAATTTGAAGAAGAGCTTAAACAAAAGAAGAAGAAAAAGAAACTGAGTGCAACTGAGCGACGGGAACAGGAACGACAGAAAGAACGCGAGATCCGTCAGCGAGAGGAAGCTTTGGTGAGCAATCAGGCACCCAATTCGATCGATCAGTTCGACAGATTAATTTTGTCGAGTCCTGATAGCTCGTTAGTGTGGCTGCAATATATGGCATATCATCTGCAAGCAACAGAGATCGACAAAGCGAGAGCGGTCGCAAGACGGGCAATCAAAACGATCAATTTCAGAGAAGAAAACGAACGTTTGAATATATGGAACGCATGGCTGAATCTGGAATCCAGATACGGCTCTGCCGAATCTTTGAACGATGTATTCCAGGAAGCTGTGAGGACAAATGACGCATACAAAGTATACATGCATATGTTGACCATACATGCGGATGCCGGTAGAAAAACCGAGCTTGAAAAATTGATAGGTACTGTGATCAATAAGTTCAAACAGGATTCCCAAACATGGACAGACTGCGGCGCCGCGTTATTGAAAATCGGCATGAAAGAAAATTCGCGCCAAATCATGCAACGGGCATTGCAATCTTTGCCTGCATCTCAGCGTAAGTACACATACACATACATATATATCGCTTTAGCTTTCACACACACACACACACACGCACACAGGGTGTGCCAAAAAATAAATTTGTAGATTTTTTGTAGTATTTTAAGACGGAAAGTCTAATACGAAAATGTCGAGGCTATGATAGTTATCAAATGGGAACAGTTTAAAAATTATGAATGATGGGGGCTAGAATTTCACGCGCTTAGGAACGGCAAGATGGTCAATATGAAAGTGCTGAATTTTGTTATCATTAAAGGAATGAAGTTCGAGAAAACATCTTCATCCCATCTTTCGTAATTTTTAAACTGTTTCCTGGACATTTTCGTATTAGACATTTCATCTTAAAATATTACAAAAAATTTGTCTATAAAATATTTATCACCAATTTTGGAACACCCTATATATACATTTTAGTATCATAATTTTATATGATTAATAAAATTATGGGATGTATTTGTGTATACAGATGTAAACCTGTTGATAAGATTTGCAAACTTAGAGAATAAACTGGGAGATAAGGAACGAGCGCAAACGTTATTCGAAAACGTCCTGAGTTCTTATCCAAAACGCGTCGACGTGTGGTCGTGTTACGTGGATTGCTTGATAAAATCTAAGGACATCGATTTAGCTAGGTACAAATTCTACCGTTTTTATAATGTATCGTGCAATATAATGAATATTTATCATTATGGATATATATATTTATTTCATGCTTAAGTTTTATGTTAGTTATTTAATAAATGTTTCGCTCATTTATAGAAAAGTGTTAGAACAGGCGTGTGTCCAAACGCTTCCACCAAGGAAAATGAAAATTCTCTTCATGAAATTCATCAATTTCGAGGAAAAATATGGTACGTCCGAGGCTGTAACTCGCGTACGACAGATGGCTACGGATTATGTGGAAAAACATATATAAGTAATGTTCTTTTTTTTATAAATAAATGTCGTTTTATGCGTATAACAAGTAGAATATTTCTTTACGTTACTATTCATCTAGAATTTCTCTTCATTTTTCTTCTCTTTCGCTTTCTCTTATTCTTTATATATATATATATATATATACACATATAATTTTAGTTCTTTATTTTGTTCTCCCCAAATTTTAGAACATATAAATGAAAGAGGAATTGAGCGCTAAACGTGAAGGTAACTTTGCTAATATCTGTGCGAGAGAGAAAACTATACATCCCAAATGTTCGCAATGCGTATGTGCCAATCAGTCGGCTTAGCTCGTTTGCCCGGAAGCTTTCCAATAAGTGACACTTTACTGCGTAAAGATCATTACACGTACGAAGATTGTATTTGTAATCGTAAACTAAGCAAATCGGCCAATTATAATCAAGCGTTTTAAAACATGAAATCGCAACTCTGATTGTCATTAGTTGATTTATTTGAGGCCTTATGATTACGACTAAAAATTTTGTACGTTTAATGGTCTTAAAGGGACGTTTACAATGATATTTTAAGGCGTAAATCTTAAACTTTAAGCTATAAAGAATTGACCAAAGTGAGGAGAATAATCGACTGTGACCTCTGTTACACGACATTCTTAATCGGGTTTAATAACATTCGTAGTTATGAAATTGGCCAATAGCTGTTTCCTGGAACGACTGTGATTGGCAATTTCATAACTACGGATGTTATTAAACCTAATTAAGGGTGCCGTGTAAATGTAGTCTATGATTACGTTTACACGCCTTGATTAACGCCGAAGTTAAGGCCATGGTACACACCTTCCGTAATAGTAATCATAAGACGTATCGTAAGAATCAGTCAGTTAGAATTAAGAGTTTAAAAAAATTCTCGACTGTGATTGGCTAATTCTTACGATACGTCTTAAGCTGGTTCTACATTAGTCGCACCGCAATGTCGCAAGCGTGTTGCAAGCATTGTGGTCCAATCAGAGTCGAGCTAGAGGCTACATTTAGACCGCGCTTAGTCCGCGACCTATACGATAGGTGTCTTTGTTTAACCTACAGGATAAACAAGGACATCTATTGTATAGGCCGTGGCCTAAATGCACGGTGTAAACGTAGCTAGAGTGATGCTGATTGGACCGCGACGCTGCGATGTGACTAATGTAGAACCAGCTTTATGGTTTCTGTTAGCCCGGATCTACAATAGGGTTGTAAGCCTTAAGCCATAAGAAATGGGCGAATCACAGTCAATTATTCCCCTCGGATGTGACTGTAATTGGTCAGTTTCTTACGGCTTAAGTCTTAAAACACCTATTGCAGATCCGGACTACGGAAGATATGTGCCATGGTCTTTGGCTGCGTTCAGCAGAAAAAGCAGCTTTGCAACTGTTGTAAAATTCTTTAATATGATTGGCTTTACCCTTAGTTCCTCATTGGATCTAAATGTATAAACCAATCATATTCAAGAATTTTACAACAGTTGCAAAGCTGCTTTCTCTGCTGAACGCAGCCATTATAACATCGATGTTAGGAAACTGGCCAATCACAGTCATTCCACTCTTCTGAGAAATAGCTATGATTGGCCAGTTTCATAATATCGATGTTATAATTTCGACGTAAATCGAACAGTGTAAACATAGTATATGATTGGTCAATTTTTTACGGCTTAAGGCTTAAAGCAGAACTTTCTGATACAATTTATTGTACATACCTTAAAGTAAGTCAAAGCTAAGTTTCAAATTCAATTTAAGGGCCTGCGCACAATGAAAGAAATAGGAAACAGAATAAGAATTTCAACCTATCAGAAACTGTGTATTCCACAATACATGATAGAATGAAATTCTTAAGGTGCATTCATATGCAAGCATCAAGCAGCGGAAGCAACAACCAATCAACGAGGCGATTTTTACAGTGGCGTAAAAAATATTTTTTACATCACTGCTCAAATCGCCCAGCTGATTGATTGCTGCTTGACGCTTGCATGTGAATGCACTTTTATTCTCTGTTCCCTATTCCTTTTATTGTGCGCAGCCCCTAAGTTGAAGATCTAGTAATGAGTTGGCAACACTGAGGAATATGAAATAAGATTTCAGGTTGTGTTAAATTCGGTTAAATTGACTTGTCTTAAGTGTTTAGCCGGTATGAAACTGTAAAAATGAATGAAAAAAATGAAAATATGATTGAAAATGACAATGGAGAGGGAAAGAAGGATTTGTGTAAGGAGCTAATTAATGGCATCACCTGCAGAGAGGATTTATATCAGTTTTTCGAACATAATGACCATAGCATCAATAGGATTCACTTTTCTAAGGTAAATTTTTTTTATAATAGAAATTTTTTTGAATGAATAAAATAAAAATAAAAGTATTGGTGAGATACGTAATTCTATGTATATTTAATAACTAAATCTTCTCGAATAAATGGATATATTTTACACACTAATAATTAAAAACAAATAATTGTACATTTGTCATTTTTCCAAATTTTTTTTATTTTTGGTTTCATATGCTTTACACATGAAATATTGCTGTGAAAATATTTTACAAATATTATTAGAGAAGGAACAAATATTAAAAGAATGGAGAGATATAAGGCCATAATTGCAGTATTGGTTGGGTTACAAAATAGGTTTCCCAAATCTATAAGGACGAACCATGTCAGCTTGGAGTTGATGAGGCAGGTCGTGGTCCAGTTTTGGGTCCAATGGTTTATGGGATCTCATATGCTCCACTGTCTCAGAAGCAACTGCTTGTTGATCTAGGCTGTGCTGATTCCAAGAGCCTGACAGAAAAGAAACGCGACGAGATATTTGATGATATCTGCAAGCATAAGGATAATATCGGCTGGGCGATCGAAGTAATATCGCCAAATGTTATTGCCAACAACATGTATCGTCGCACCAAAATTTCACTAAACGAGATCTCCATGATATCTGCTACAAACTTGATCCGAGAAGCAATCGAGGCAGGTGTGAATGTTGCTGAGATTTACGTAGATACCGTCGGCAAACCTGAGTCTTACCAAACGCGACTGAAAAACATATTTCCCAGCATCAAGATAATTGTGGCAAAAAAAGCAGACGCAACCTATCCGATTGTCAGTGCGGCTAGTATATGTGCCAAGGTGTTGCGAGATCACGCAATACGAGCATGGCGGTTTCGCGAAGGTGACGGCATCGAAACAGAATACGGCAGCGGCTATCCCAATGATCCAGTAACTAAAAATTGGTTGTCCGCGAACGTGGATCAGGTGTTTGGCTTCCCACAGCTTGTTCGGTTCAGCTGGTCCACTGCCGAACAGATTCTTGAGTCAAAAGCATTGACAGTAGACTGGGAGGAAACGGAGGAAACTTCTAACGAGCAAAAGATTTTAAAGTTTTTCGCCAAATCTTCAACTAAATCGTCTAACGTTCACATGAAAAAATATCCGTTCTTCGCTGAACGTTGTCTATCTAATACAACTATCTTATGATATTTACTTTATGCTGATTTCTTTCCTTCCCATTGTAGTCATTTAATAGGATTTTAAAGACCCTTAACTTAACATAAAACTTTATAGAAATTATTACATAGAAGGTGACCAAAAGTTTGGATACAGTCGAATATTTAAAAAACCAAGTATTTTTGAGAAAAATGTTTCAGACAAAAGTTGTAGGGTTTAAAAGGAACTATTTGCTGATCTTCAGTTTAACCCTTGGTCACATCGATTTTTTAAAATAGAAATCTTCATTTTTCATTACATATTCTTGTAGCTTATCTTGTAAGTGTTTCAAAGCACTATAAAATATTTTTTCGTTAAGTACTTTTTGAGTTACAAGGCTTGAAAGTTACAGTATTATGTGTCGGCATTAACATTATCTAAGATGTCCGACTATATAATGATTAAAACGTTTTAAATGTTCAGTTATGATCTTGATATCGTATGTTAAAATCAAGACTATTGGAGATTGTTCTTATTATCATTTTTACGTAAAAATAAAAATAAGAACAATCTCCAAAGACCTTGATCTGGACATATACAAAAAATACTTAATGAAAAAATCTTTTGTTATAGTGTTTTGAAAATTTCTGGAAACGTTTTGTTCAAAAATACATTGTTTCGAGGTATTCGATTGTATCCAGATTTTTCATTCACCATCTAGATTTTTATATATTTAGCTCATATATATATATATATATATATGTGTGTGTGTGTGTGTGTGTGTGTGTGTATATTCACAGTATTAGTTTTTATAATTAATCGGGACATGTAAGAGATATTAAGAATAAAAGTGGATTAAACGAATGTGTTTTCTTTTTGAACGTCAAACCAAAGTAGAGAGAAACCTGAGAAAGAACATGAAGGCCTTTTTCCTGTAATCGAAAATGCCTTGCGCACTATCACCCTCTGAAGAAGTGGATGTCAACTACACAACAATATCCACATTTTTGCGGTGCCCCTGATGAAAATAAATCTCTGAAATCGCTAAAATAACTAAAATCTGTCAAATTAAAGAGATTTCAATGATTTCAGCGATTTATTTCCAGGAGTATCGCAAAAACGTGAATATTGTTGTATAGTTAATATCCACTTCTTCAAAAGGCGGTAGTGCGCAAGATATTTTGCGGTTACAGGAAATAGGTCTTCATGTCCTCTTTGAGGTTTCTCTTTGATCAAAGGTATATAGAGGAAAGGCCCCTGTTATGAGATATCAAGTTCATTTTGGGTAATTGCTGGAAGTTTATAGGCAAAATTAAAAAAAATAATACGTTATTTTGAAGGGAATTTAATAAGCTTTAAGATACTGTACTGTAAAACTTAATTGTAAAATTTTTTTTGAAAATTAGAGAAATATAAAAAGTAAATCGTAAAGTCAGAAAATGGTGCTTATAATATAGAGATACCTTGAGAAATAGATAAAGTGCAAAGTACTTCAATATTGTAATTAACAAACTTTATTTAATGTTTCTAAAATACAAACAAACAGCCAGTGTGCGCGCAGAATGAGCATGCGATGCATTGTACCCAGGACTCGTCTTCAGGTAGTTGGAACCAAGCATCGCAGAAACAGGCACTCGATTAGCATAGATTATTTCATGTTAGAAGTATCCTGAGTATCTCATATTTCGAGTTTCACGTCTTACAGTTTTATGATCATCAAATATAACTTGTGTTATGCGTTATGCAAGAGTCTGTACTGTGGCCTTTCGGCTTAGGTTAAAGACGCGTTAAGGGGATCCTAAAGTCGTCTGTATTACCGGCTAAATCATAATTTTTGTATAACATTTACTTTTGTCCTGTTTTACAGATTCGAAAATCCTTTTACAGGATTAAAATATACGCATTAATACGTGTCTGTGAAGTGGAGTTTATGTTGAGAACGACAAAAAATGTCGAAATTGAAATCTTAAGAAAAATTTTTTGCTTTTATTAAGATGTGACCTCAAACTAGAGGTCGAAATTGAAATTGGATTGGAATTTAACCAATCAAAACAAAATTCATAAAACTTGAGGTTGATTTTCTCTTTTCTTATTGGTTAAATTCCAATCCAATCTCAATCTCAATCTTTAGTCTGATCACGCCTTTAGAGGATCTCTATCTCATAATAGGGAGCTTTCTTCTAATAAATATTCAACATTACTCTCAGTGTCTTTTATTATGATTTTATTAGATCGATGTACAGTACATTTCGGAAGAGATTTACGCAATTTACTAAAGAAAATATTTCTGCAGATTAAAGATTAACAATATCGTTTTTCTTTGTAACTTGATATTATAGCATGTTATTTTGAAACATTAAATTAAAGATAAGTATATATCGTCCGACTTAGGATTACATATATATGTATATAATATATATATATATATACACCATATATACAAGAGCGTGTGTCCTTACAGCTACCATAGATAAAGAGTGTGGCAAGTTTCATTTATGAAACCTCTACACATCGTGCCACCGTGATTAATTAATAATTAAAAATGCTTGGCGTGTGAAAAGTTCGAAAATCTTTGGTAAACACACACTACACAGTCACACATGTCGTACAATTATTCCTAGGATATTATCTCAATAACGTATGATTAATAGCGACTAGATCGTTAAGGGCTACGATATAGTGGCGAACAGACGATTTGTTTTGTTTGTGTTGCGTCGCTGCTTCTGCTTAATTGTATGTATGTATTAGAGTTTTTCGATTCGTGTTTATTTTATTGGTTTATAGGCACACGCGCGGCGTATAAGTTCAGTATCGTATGCGTTTTCTTAATTAAATATTTACCGTCCTCTTTCGCCCCCTCCCCTCCTCCAAGCAAATCGAATGTGCAATATATCGATAAATTATTCTTATTGAATAAAACATTATTTTTAGATATTTTTAAATATCTTAAATTTTTTAAACAAATATATTATAATATTAATTATAATATTATAATATTAAAATATATAAATATAACATTATAATATTAATTAATAAATCATTGTAAAACATCATTAAAATATTTTAATATCATAAGTTGTATGCAGATATCCAATTTGAAAATTTGTGAAGAATTTTTTCGTGTATAGTTAAATCGTTGATATTATATTGTCTTGAAACTCAGTTGTACATTGCATTTTATCGTATCAGACGTGGCACGGTTAATGAAAATTCAATAAAACGCGGACCCGCGCCATAGTTTGCATGGTAGATATGCGTTAGCCACACACAGATATGTATATTCAAACGAAGTGCACGCGCGTGTGTACCTGAAGAAAAATTGATTTATGTACTTTACGCATGAGTCGCTGCAAGCAATGTAAAAAGTCGCGACTCCGAATTTTCATGATAAACGATAGATCAATACATGGCAGTGCATATATATGTATAATTCTTCGATGAATGTGACAACGGAATAACGGGTCCGTCGTGCCTTTCACGCACTGTACGCGAGATATAATTCGTGTAATACGAAAATTGAACAACCGAAATTTTTCTCGCTGAAAATTTTCTCGGTAATTTTTTTATTATCCCTGGAAAAAAAAAGAATCTATCGTCCCTCTACAACGAAAACTCCCTCTAAAGATTCGAGTCGAAAGTCTAACATAATTCGAGAGATAGTCGTCTGTCTACAATTATTACAAGATCTCTAATTTCACTAATTGCAATTATAAAAAAATATAAACAACATGGATAATTTTATATTACGTAATCATATCGCGTTACGAGGATGGTTTCCACAGGCCTAGAGGATGAGCACGAAGGGCGAATGATATCTTCAATCCTTACCGCAGCATCAGTAATCCCATAATCACCAACATAACGCACGGTCCTAACGCTATACTTCCGCTCGCTGAAAAAGAAAAAGCCAGAATACGTCGCGTTTTCTGAAAGAGGAATATTTCATAAATATTCAAGAAAAATTCAAAGTTTGAACATTTTGAAATTGAAACTTGGTTAAGTGAGTTTGGCTAAAGCGATTTATGCTTAATGGCGCCAAAAAAATGGCTGAATTAAAAGAAAGTGACATAAATTCCGTATCCACGAAATTAGATTATTAATCTTTCGATCGCTCGCGTGTCTGTGATTCAATGTATTACAAAATTCCTTCCTTACTTCGGAGAGCTGTCCTTAAGGTTAATATTATATTCATCCGTTTTTTGTCATACGACAAGTTTTTCAAGCCTGTTGATTAGCTGCAGAACAAAGAGGTTCTCAGATTTCTCAGTCCTGCAGCCAATTAACACGCTTGAAAAATTTGTCGTACGACAAATGTAATATCAGTCTGAAGCTTGTTCTACAATAGGATCGTAAGCCGTAAGAAATTAATAAATCATAGTTGATTATTTTTGTCATATTCAACTATGATTGGCCAATTTCTTACGGCTTACAACTTGCGACCCTATTGTAGAATAGACATAAAGCGGGTTTTGCGCGAAACGAGTTACGCGTTTGCGCTTTGGCTTGCACGATAGAACTAAAACAGCGTATCAGGGAGAAATGACGTTGAGTTACTGAACTATCCGCGCGTCGGAACAAGCTTCGAGTTGGAAATGTTAAACCAAAAGGGTTGAATCTATTATTTCGGTCACTAAACTCTTTTCACATGGCTACAGAGCTTATAATAATTGCGAACTTGTAATTAATATTAAAGACTGAACTGTGAAAAACGTCAGTTTTTTCAACGGCTTGAAAAATAATCCTTTTTACCTTGAATAGGTAATGATTCTTCAAGACCAAATCTTCGTTTTAATTCTTTTGATACATTACATTAATATAATGTAAACAAAATGTCACTCGGAGAATGACATTTAAGAATCATTTATATTGGCTGTAAACTGATAACTTATGCTGCAAGCTATAAGAAATTGATCAGTCACAGTCGAATGTGAGGAGAACGAAGTCGATTATTCTGCTCACATTCGATTGTGAATGGTCAATTTCTTATAACTGACGATAAATTAACAGTTTACGGCTAGTATAAATGATCTCTTAATATTCTGATTAATTAAGTGCGAGAAGCATCTATTATGGTCAAAGTCAGGTATTGAAATAATACATTTATATACGGAGTGTTTGATAGGGTAACACCGCTAGCAATTTACGACAGTGGGTGGTTTTATCTCGATCGATGTGCGCTTGTATTTGGCGATAGGCTGTGCTATTCAGCGATCTTTAGAAATCAATATTTCCTTAAATATTACGAAAATAATAAAATAGTACAAGACTTTTCGATTCAGTTTAATCCGCTCTACCTGCCTATGAATGGTAGGTATTATACCTAATATCAAACACTGTACATTTAAATAAATTTTTCTCAGAAGTAGTGCCGATTACTTTCACACATAGCTTGCAATATAATCAAACTGAAATAATAATATTTCTTGCAATAAATTTTTTAGAGATTTTAAGATGCTAGTGACATCAAATCAATGATTTAATTTAATTTAGGGCGATTAGTATTAGTACAGTTGATTGTATTGCAAATCCGAAAATAATTGGCGCGCATATTTCTGAGATAAAATTTATTGAAATACATATATAGATGTAATATTCCAATATTTAATTGTGACCGTAATAGCCGCTTTTCATACTTATTATTAGTTGATTTAATTCATATAAACGATCCTTTTCTAAATAAATATTGTTTCTTAATATTTTTAATATTGTTAGAAACGTTATTTTAAACGAATTAACATTTAATTAATATCTAAATAATATAGTAAATTTAATTTTATTTGTCAGTTTTGACTTACAATTTCATCTCTTTATTTCTGACTAAGTATCGTGTTAAAAAATATCAAGAGATATTTAAATATTAATTTTGTAATAATATATTAATTTTATCTAATTATTGAGCTCAAATTTGAAGAGGGGAGAGGGAAGGATTTTCTTTTTAAATTTTGATCCATCTTTTTTTAGAGTAGTGACACGGGTAGCTAAATTAAAAGAAAAAAAATCTGTGTTCGTGCGGCGAAGCAGATATTTCGCCCTTACTATATGTCATTTACCCTCAGTCAAGGACCGCGGATGGGATTCTCTTTTTACCTAGGATGTGTTCGGCGTGCGTGTGCCCTTGCGCCCTTGTCTCCCTACTCTCCATTACCGGTATCTTCAGAGGCCTCTCACCCTCTATGCTGAGCTCATTCGATTTCCAATATATGGTATATATTCTCGCCAGGCATTTGATCTTCAAGTCTCCCTTCTTGAAGTGCTTCAAGCGCAGACGGAACTCTAGACCGAGTGTGGAAGTCTCCAGATCGTTCCGGTCTACGTCGACGGGGTAGGACTTCAAGAACTGCTGCTCGACCTAATCGAAGTGAAGAAGCGGGACTGTATATTCTCTCTCGATCTGAACGACGATGATGATGATGATAACACGGATTTCCTTAGTCAGAAATATTGGGTTGGAACAAAAGTTCGTAGTAGGTACTATTTCATTTGTATGTGTTTGTGTTTACATGTTTTTCTTAAATTAGACATTTATATGTTTTTATCATTAAAAAGAATGAAGTTTCTGTTTTAAGAATCTATTTTTTAATTGCGATACGCGATGATTTTTAACGGAGTTATGAGCAATTAAAGTCAAAATGTTCCTTTTATTTAATCTGCGATAACTCAGTAACAAAAATTCTTAAAACCATTTTTTAAATACGATTTTGCACGGAAAACTTTAAGCTTTCTCATGTTAGAAAGTCGAAAATTTTCTCAAGTTTTTCTTTTCAGATATGTAAAAAGCCCACAAAATGAGGAAAAAATTTGCCATTTTATCGAGAGAGAGAGAGAGAGAGAGAGAGAGAGAGAGAGAGAGAGAGCGCTCATAGTTTTCTATATATATGTAAAAAATAACTAAATTGACAGAAACTCAAAAGACATAATGACTTCTCGAAAGTAAAGATGCTAAGCTTTAAAACTCTTTTTTAAATTTAAATCATTTTTAACGAAATTATGGCTGCTTGAATTTTGAAGTTCGTAACACTACGAAGTTTTGTTCTAATCCAATATTTGCTAGCACGTAATCAACATGGTTTAAATCTTTTGCGGTATATTGACATGTCCTTAAAATTTTCATAATTAGTTTTCTGGAAGAATAGTGAGGCTAAAAAGATCCTTTCTTAATTCTAAACACAAGTTTTACTTAATGGAATAAAATCAGAGTGAAAATTGGTAACAAATCGATTGGAATATTAAACTCGAACGAAACAAGATAATATTATATTCATAATAAGCAATGATGTCAGCAAAGAATTAAGCAAAGAACAAATGGTAATCTTCTAAATACGCGAGATCATTTTAAGAATCATTTTAATATGTGTTCTTAAACTTAGATATATCTTTTTTCGTTTTTTAAATTAAATGTAATAACGTCGTCAGTACTTATCATCGTAAATTAAATACACAGCATTATCTGTCTAATCTACTTTGTTCCAGGAAAATTGACTCTCTTGACCCGCGAGCTCCTTGAGAGCACTACGTAAACTTTTAATATCGTTCAGCAGAAGATTGTTATCTTTCTCATTAAATTTTGTTACAACTTTTGTGATAAAAATTAAGAAGTATTCTAACATACGACACTAATTCTAATCATGATAATGAAATTATTCAATGCCTTACTGTTATACATACACACACGCGCGCGCGCGCATTACCTATAATATTTTTCGTGTTTCATGAGAATTTCATATCTTTTTCTAATTTATACGTTAACATCATAATTTACAGGACATCTTCTTCAAATACTGTAGATAAAGATTAACCAATAAAAAACATTTCGTATTTGTGTTGAAAACGATCCATTCAAGTCCTTATTAAAATTTTGTATTGATTTTTTAACATATTCGAATGTTATATAATTTAACATAACGTGATTTAAGTAGTTTGTATTAAATTGATATTCAGCATTTTTTAGTGTCAAAATAATACAATTTATGAGTAAATAAACAAATAACAAATAATATGTTTTAAATTCTCTACAGATGAATAAATAAAATATGTGTTAATTTAATATATCATAAATGTTAATTTTATTGAAAAAGACATGTTTCCGTAGTTTGTTGTTTATAAATTGTTAGTATTATCTTTTTGTGTTTATTTTTTTAAATAATGTTTTTGTTACCTTCTAACATATCTAGCTTGTGTTAAATTAACATAAATTTGAGTGGATCGTTTGAGACAATGTAAAATGTGTTAAATTCAACACCAATTTTCCAACGGCAATTCTATAATCTAAGATTATCAATTTTAACTCCGATTAAATATAATCCCGATTTTAATAAGTCACGATATAATGCCGATGCTGAAAGATTACAATCAGGCGGTTTTGAATGCGCGCGAGCGTCCGCTCGCAACCCCCGAAGATTAATTACCCCCAAGAACTAATTATTTGTTCGCGTATGAAAAATGAAAAAGCTTCGCACACACCATAGAATGCACTTTGTAAAATTAATTCTCGAGCTTTGTTAGCATGTAATCGTGGGTCAACGAGACTAACGGTCACGTTAGTGACCGTCGTTGCAGATGTGCGTTATTTTCGCGAAAGAACGAAATTCGCCATGATGAGAAACTTTTGACAGCGATTAAAAGAGAGGGGAAGAGAGGGGGGGGAGAGAGAGAGAGAGAGAGAGAGAGAGAGGAGAGATTAAGAGGGAAAAAAAGTGAAGGGTACCTGTTACGATATATTTTTTCTTTGTGATCGTATAGTAATATCCAATACGTTTTTATAGACGTAACTTCGTAGCACGATGGTATCACGATGGTAGTAAAACATGTTGTATTACGAAGAAAAAGTCTTTATTAAGATAGATGTGAAGGTTTAACTTTGTCACTTGTAGGAACATGTGACGAATATTTTAGCGTTAGAATTCGATCCGTGAAAAGTAAAATCTACTTGGATTTCGTTAAATTAAATATTAATTTAAAACTTAATTAATGTTTAATTGAAACTTTATTACTATACATATAAAATAGAATAAATAAAGAATAGAATTTTCGACCCTGTAATTAATTATTATCTCGAAAAAAATCAAAATAATATTGAGTTCTTTTTTATTCTTGAAAAATTGGAAAATAATTACAGAATTAAATACGTAACACATGATATAACGAAACATGTTTCTGATTAATAATAGTATTAATAACATGGTACAACTATTTTAGAAAATTCGTAGATAAAGCCTCTTCCTGTTACTCAACTGCATCGTACGTAAGCGTACGCGAATCTCTAGACTATTCTAAACGGATTTTCCGGGATCATGGCGTATCTCGGATGTTAGTGACGTTGCCGCGAATCTTTTACGCTTCCGACAACCTGAGAAGACATTCACAGTTGCGGTAAGCAGGCAGACAGAGAAAGCAAGGGAGAAAGAGAAAAGAGGAGAGAGAGAGAGAGAGGAGGAGGAGGAGGAGGAGAGAGAGATATGCTTCGTGTCTCGAGCACTCACAGGGTCGCCGTTGATGAACCAGCTGAGCGTGGCATGTGGCTTCGACCTCGTCGAAGTGCAATTGAACCGCACGACGTCGCCGACTTGATAACGATGTTTCCCGGGTCGCGCCGTGATAACAGGTTCGTCTTCCGGGAGGGCTGGAATTATGTAGATATACGTAAAACAATCTGCTATGACAAAAAGGATGTGATGTTCTTCGATTAGACAAAACGACCGGGCTTTTAACCTGCCCACTCGAATATTTTTGCGCAATGCCGCTTGAACCATAATTTTCTATAATTTGATTGCGGCGAGTTTAACTTGTTTACGTTTACCAATGTGGAAATTTTAATGGAGTAACACTTTACTGTGATTATTGCACTCGATATAACGCATTTAACTTTATATATACGCTATATGATAGATATATAAATGTGCGCATGATAATCGGTTATACAGGCGCAAAAATTGGAGCGATCGAGATCTTGTCCCTCGATAGAGAGAACAAATAATAATCGAATCCGTTCTGGATTAAAAGGATTGGATGGAAAACCAGTTGCGGATCTTATTTAGATTTAAACGGCTAAAGTTCCATACAGTTGTGCTATAGAAATCTTTTCAATCGATATTTTTCATACGATATTATTAATCAAGTGTTTAATTTGTGAAGAATGTTGCGCAAGCGTTGGTAATATTCGAGTTAGGAATAATTGAAGATGAGAAAGTATGAGCAGATTTTACGTCAATGAATTTAATGTTCATGAGGAAATTGTGATAAATAATTGAAAGCGAATATCGGTTTCGAGTTTGTCATGTCTGCGATTGAAGAAAAGCGCTTCGCTTTCAGCGTACGATGATAATAAGATAATTAAGACTTACGAAAAGTGTTTTAAACGATAAGTCGTAGATGCATTACCGTCGCAAGACTGAATCATCAGTGATTCGTCACTGGTCGTAGGTCGATATTTTTGAGGGATAGTTAATGTTCCCTCTCACAGATCAAAACCAACGCGACGAAATTGACTCTTTCGAAGGTGTTAGAACTGCGATTTGTTTTAATTCGCGCGTAAAGTGGCTTTTGAAATCTTTAAAGCCGTTAAAATATCTAATCCCACGGTAGAAAATCTCTCTTCTTCCTTTTTTTCTTCTTGAACGTGAAATCGAAATCCCTTCATCAAATGACACGTATAAATCTTTGTCTCGGAATTAAACCGTTCCAAGGCATATCTCACGTAGGCTACACGATAAATGTGATAAATCTCTTCTTCGCGGTTTAATTTTAATTCAAACATGAATAAGATCATGATTAGTCGGTACAATTTCTCTTTTTTCTTTTCGGTTGACCGTGATAACATTTGCTCGGATAATGAGAATCGACGAAGAAGAATAGTAGCGCCGCCTCGTGAAGCTAAATCAACGATGCAATATCCCAATGTTTGCGAGAGGCCTGGATTGCCATTATTGCGCGATTTCTTTGAAAGATAAAACTCTTAATTAATACTAATCTGCTCGCCGTCGCTTCTTACCGATTACCGTCATATCCGAATGGTCGGAAACGGTCTGGAAAGACGGTGCCTCCGCTGAAACCTCGCATCTGTAGCGTCCCGTGCTCATGAGGTTCACGGAACGAAGGACGACCATTCGTTGAGTGGATTCGTGAACCTGAAAGACAAAAAAAGAGATGCATCCAAAAAAAAAAAAAAATTCTGCTAATAAGCGGGAAATTCCTCTTAGAATTTCCTCTAAGCAAAAAAATCTTACATAAATCAGGCACGTGTATTTATAATATGTATTCATCTATAAAAATAAGGATACATGAGCTATGATCAAAAATAAAATCCTCTATAGAAAATTCTATTATAATAACTCGAATAGCCTTTTGAAATAAAAGGATATACAAGATACTGGCACGTTTATTTGTTAAAAGAAGTTTGTCATTTATATACTACCGTAATTACGCGTGCATGTTAGTATGTGACATGCAGGATATTCTTCTAGCATTAAGAGGATTGCAATCTTAAATCCAGCACCTTATAGTTATACGAAATTCCTCTAATTTGTACAGTATCTTCTTGAGACCGTACATAATGGAAAATCTTGTGACATTAACACAGAACCGCTAAATGGCAGAATATTTTTTTTGAGTGTAACATTGCGATATAACGGCCAATTCGTCATGCTGTGAAAACTCGCAAACTGACTCGATAAAATATATGGACACAGAATTAAAATCTTCCTTAATATGATTTGTTTATTTTATTGACTAAAAAAATAGAACAGAAAAAACTACCTCATAGAATTACGTAAAATTTCAATTATTTCATATATTACGAGATGCATCTCAAAAGTAAGTTTCTCTATCATAGGAAAAAATTAGTTATATTATGCATTGTAGAAATTGTTTTGGAGTATGTTGACAACATTTTTTTCACTTACAGTCTCCTTTAATTGCAACCATAATTAGCTGAACAAATTTGAATTAAAAAAAACGCCAATACAAAACGTGTCCGACTGCAAACTACGTATACCTAATGATAATTCAGTTTTGACTGCAAGAAACGAAAGTATTATAAATATTCATCTTCAAATAAAAAAGTCTTTTTGAAAAAGCTTTTTGAAAGTGTTTTTGACGAAAGTTTTTTTGTTTCATGAATTCTTATTCAACAAGATGAATATAGGATTTATTGGCATAATTTCGTTGGGAATATTTTAGTCAACCACCAAAGATTTTCTTCAACCGACTGATTTTCACCCATTTTCTGCGCTAAAAATATTTGAGTGATAAAAGTTGTGACAGCGGTGATGAAATTAAAGCTGAAGTGAAATCGTGACTCCAATTAAAAAATATGTTTTTTCATACCACTGACATTAAAAAACTGGTGTCACGTTACATGTTTCACAATTTCAATAGTGACTATGTTGAGAAGTAACTTAAGGATTAAGTTAAAAAAAAGAAATAAATTTATTGTCCTATTATAATTGTCCTACCTCTTATTTTATTTTCCTACCTAGTTTCCTAAGGAAACTTACTTATGGGATGTTCTTCGTACTATTAAATTACTTTTTCGACAATGGGAAGTTTTCGCAATATCATGTATCCAGATACGGTGAACGGTCAAATCACGTTATTTAGTGGAAAGTTGTGCACGCGCAGTTCGACTTTTCACTAAATAACGTGACTTTAGCGTTCATCGTATCTGGATACATGATATTGCAAAAACTCCCTAATGTCTTTCCATTAACTTGCGTACAAATTCCGCATTTATAATGTTATTTCCGAGGATTAGATTTAATGCCTAGTTTTTATGCTGTCTCTCTAAATCTTGATAAATGAATGAATACAATTGAGAAATATATATATTCGTCCTTCGCACGAAATGAACGTCCTTCCGACAACTTGTGTCGTTCCGCTGGTAGCCCAGTGAATCACTCATCATTTTCGGGCACAGAACTGGGCTCGCTCCAACTAGTTTTCATGCCGCGGGGAAGATGGAATTTTTTCGTATCACTCAATGGTGTGGAAAACCGTGCGCGTGATATAGTCGGCGAGGAATTGAAATTATTGGAAATATCATTAACCTAAAAGAGGGAAACCGCTACTAGAAAGGGGGGGTGGCGAGGAAGAGCGACCCCCTTGGGATCAATTTGTAATGCGTTATCTTTTGTGACGACGACGACGACGACGACAAGGACGAAAGGTAATTTTAGATGTGCCGCGCGGTGTGATGAAGACGCGCTTAACGAACAACGTCCCCACATTAAATTAGTGAAGAAACGCGGGGTAGAAACAGGAGAAAAGGGATAGAAGGAGAGAAGCCGGGTCATCGTCGTCAGCATCCCCACAATTTTCATCTCCGCGCGCTGGGAGAGCATTTCACGATTCATTATACTAATCGATGTAATTATAAACAGCGATAACAACCGGGTAGACCGATAATTTCTAAGGGCATTCCCGAGCGCCAATCTCGCGCGGGTGATTAATGTTAATATTAAGGCTCATTATGATCAAGATCGCGTACCGGTGGTCGTCTCGTCTTTGTTTATTCGCCGCTCGGCGCGCATAATGCAACATTAATCCGATGTCTTGACGTGAATGAAAAGCCATTTTGGTCGCGCGTGCCCGAGACGAGAATATTTCGGGAAAGCTGCTCCTGCATGCAGTATTTATTTATTTATATAGGAATGGAAGCTAGTTCCTTTTGCAAACGTCGCTCACGACTGACACATGGACGTCTCTCTCTCTCTCTCCCTCTCTCTCTCTCTCTCTCTCTCTCTGTGGTAATGTTAATTTAGTTTCAAATCTCTCTCTCTCTCTCTCTCTCAGAGATTTGAAAATAAAATTTCGAAAATGAGACATTACTACAATGTTTATTATTGTCGAAGTCAGCATCTGTTTTTATTATTTCCATCGCGTATGATGCATGCACTTTTGTGCGTCACTTGTGTTGTCAATCACACGCTCGTATTCTCAAATTAGTTCACGTTTTGCTCTCCTATTTGTTTTCCGATTGGGAAAAATATCAGAACGCGCGATTTATTTTTAAACGACACAAATATGAAGGTGGACGTGATGGGATAGTTCTGCCGTTCGAGTACAGAGTTTAGATTTTGACTCCTCGTGATTGACGCGCATTTGAGAATTCGAGTCCGTATGATCGAAAGTGGGTCAATCATGCCACTTGCTGGGAAACACGTCCATCGGGAATTCTAAACAGGTGCGGAATCAAAACACCGTGTACACTACAGAAACTTTCTTTTCCGAGGCTTCAATCGTCCACGTGTTTAAGGCGATTCACGACGGTCAATCGGGCTGGACGTATCGGACGCGAAGCGTGAGAATTGGATAAGGATTCAACACGAGAGTGAGCGGGAAATTGTAGCCGAAGAATGTCCCGATCTCTTTCTATTCGAAGATTTATGCCATTCTTATGCCGGATCCTTTCAATTTTGTTCGTCGTAAAGTGCCAATGTTGAGGAATGAGAAAAATCTTCGCTTACAGAACCCGTCTTAATGTTATAAAAAGATTACATTTCCGAGATAAATTTCATATAGATTAGGATTTTGATTCGTTCTTTTTATTATTAAAGTTTAACACAAAAACCAAAGAGAGAGTGTGAAAGCAGTTAGTTATCCTTACGACTGCTGAGACACCGGGTTGGAGGAACACCAGAACAGGTGGCTTCTCCTGGGGTACGTATCGGTAGAATTCGTTGCCGTCCTTGTACCACTTGACCGAGTACAGCTTCTCGCCGTCCAGATTAAAGTTGCACTCGAGGCTTACATTTTGCCCGAGCACCGCGTGCTGCGGCACTATCAGCTCCAGCATCCTCAAACCGTTTGTTTCTGCAACACATATAGAAAGCGGATGCGAGATCAGAGAAAAGGCGCATGAGTGTATACGCTTGTGTTGAATGTTACACGAGACAACGAGTTTTCAACGAAAAGATCTTACTTAAGAAAATTAAACTAGACACGGGTAATTGGAGTAACAGTTTTCGCAGCTGTTTTTGTAGAGCTTAATTTTACTGTTGAAAACAAATATCAGTTAGAGGAGTAATAGTAGTTCGTAATTAAAACATCAAAAGTGAATAAGATATATATTGTCGCATTTAGGATTCACAGCATTCTAATTTATTTCATGCGTTAAAAAAGATCAATGTATCAATGATATTCGTTATTTAAACTTTAACAAATAAAAAGAATTTTATTGTACGCAAAAAGACAAAAAAGTGAAATTCTCTATAATTAGTATAATCTATATCTTTCATGCGTTATTTCTTTTCATGCCTTGAATTATGTTTAAAGTCAGAAATTGTACTTTAATGTATTTTAAACATGTAAAAATTATATAGTTATATGCATCGCTGATCAAATATTTAAAAACATATGATGGAGCATGAGACTTTCTTCAAATGAAAAAAATTAATTAATTCAAGCGCGTGACTCTAGAAGACCGCGATCCCCTTTTATTAGATGCGTGGACGTTCGGGTGACGTCATTCGAAGAGGGAAAGAAGATCAAAGAAGCCGCGAGAGACATTGCAGCGATGAGGGTGAATAAGACGTGCATGACGCGCGTATCTTTTCTGTGGATGCTGCAACGATTCGAATCACCGGGAATATTCCGCGAGAATATGTAATCCACCGAAATCTATCGTGTGTAGGAAATAGAGAGAGAAAGAGAGAGGGGGGGAAGGGAGGGAGAAACAATCTGCGACGAACGCGTCGACGGAGCTCAAGAGTAGAAGGATGATGACGATAACGTCAGGTAAACAGGTGGTTGCTGCGAATAACAAAGACGTCTACGACGTTTATAAACAAGGTATTAATTTCTTGACACGCTCTTGTTCGTGAGCAAGGCGAATTAAATGTTTATTTCGAATAATGGCACGATATCTCTTGCTTATCAATGACACATCAAGTATTATTAGGCGAAAAATAGAACATTTTACTTAAATATATAATATTTTGAAATGGCTTTATGAGATATCAGTCAATGATATTTTTGAATGAAAGTAAAAGTTGCATAATTTTCAAATATTCTTAAAAAAAGATTAAAAGTTATAATAATAGATCGAATGATTGTTAGAGAAATCTTAAAATTATTAATTAATTCATAACTTTTATATAATTCTGATGATACATGTATAATTGATGGAGTTAAATAATGAAAGGTTTTTTTAAATTCGATATTCACAACAATATAGAGGCTCCTGAACCGTATAGATTTTGATTTGATTCTCACCGTATAGATTTTTAGGAGAGACGTCAATAATACGACAGCGAAGTCACTTCAAGGCACTGGCTTAGAGTTTCCAGTGCAACGAGTTAAGTGAAAATGTACTTTTGATTGCCGCCTTTACGGTGGACAGAAGATAAGTACAAGGGATAAACACATAGGAGGGAATAAGTGCGAGCATGGGCGCCGCGCCGTCGGAATTTTTTCCCCAACTTCCTTGCTTCTTCCCATGATTATTTCAATTATCTTGCTAATAGCGTACGGTAAAATTTCCTGCTTCTATAACAAGAGTTCCATGAAAATTATAATGAAGCGGTATTTCTCACAACTAGACTTTTTTCATCTCGTGGCACCATGGAAAACCAAGAAGACTGTATCTCGACGCTCATGACCGCGTCGTGCAATTTCTGGAACGACAAGGGATAAGAAATAATTCCTGCGCTTCGTTACGTTCGCGCATTACGAAGACGAGAAAACTAGCTTATAGCTTCCGGCAGGATGACCATATTTTCCTGCAAGTAGGACAATATAGCACGGTGAAACCAAGAGACAATTTCCAGAATTGAAAACTTCTATTAAATTAAATTATGGAGGATTAAAATTAATTTAACTGATAAATTAAAAAAAAGACTTTTCATCTCCATAAATGTAGACGACAATACGTAAATTACAGAATCCATTTTCTATTAATTATACACATTCCTTTTCAAATTCTTCTTAGAAACTCTAAGGACAGAATGCAAATCTCTAGCGAAATGCAGTCGTATTATGGCAATGTGACGCTGCGTAATATGGATAATCGTGAGAGTCATTCATATTGCATGTCAAAACGAACAGTCGAATTCTCACGCGTGTCCACGCGTATTTACCCATACAAAAGATCCATAGAAAAGAAGTACGTGTTACTTCGAAAAAAAAAAAAACTTGAGTCATTCTTTTTTTCGGTTTTTGCCATTATATATGCTCCATTTAAAACGGAATTTTTGTGCTATAAATAATAATAATTCGTTCATACTTATTTGCCAATTTAATGAGGAAATACCATTACGAATTAAATAAAATTTTTTATACTAATAAAACTTTAATAAATATTCGTGCAAAAGTTTATTTGCACGAATTCATTTAGTCGTTTAAAAATTATTTATTGCAGCAAGTTATTGCGCTGCGTAAGCCATTATATAAGTCAAATTATTTGTTGTTTTGCAGTTGGTTTCAGAGCGTATTCAGAATAAAAATGTTGTTGGCTGATATCAACTGAAAATATTAATGAAAAACGGATACTAAATAAATACAATCTTAATAAAAAAATATACGAAATATATGCAATTAGCCAAGTATTTCATGCACTGCACAAAACATATAAGATGGACTGAAAGTGACGAAAGTGGTCAACTGGATTATAATGAAGAAAAAATTTGGCGTGCCCGGATCGCATTAATTGCACTTCTGTGAATATATTATCTCAATACAATATTTGCATTATGAAAATATAAAAATAATAAACATATTATATATAGTAATATAGTTTGTGGGACAAAAATATACTCACAAAATATATTAATCCTAGAATATTGCGATTTGATGCGACCCGGACACGCCAAATTTTTTCTTCACTATAATTGACTACTTTAGTCACTTTCGGTCCATGTGCCTTGTCTAATAAAATACTTGGCTAATTGCATTTATTTCGTATCCGTTTTTTATTAAGAAGAATGTAAAATTTGATATCTTTTTACGCTTGGCGTATACTTTTTCTTTTTTTTTAAAGATTTTTTAGGGTTGGCTTTTTTTTAGTTGACTTTTTAGCTGATATTGTAAAACATCCTTAAGATATTAGATGTAAGAAATATACATATTACAAATTATCTATATTACAAATGTATAACTTAACGCGTATCCCAGAACATATCTCTAAAAATGCCAATAAATAAGTAATAAAATGTTGAATAAACGGCATTAAATAGATATAATCTTTGATTTTCTGATGATTTTTCTCTTTTGCTCCAGAAATAGTTGAACCGCTAATTTGCGGTGTTAGAGTTAATGCAATTGTCTCGAATGATATTTCCGCGTTAAACGGGAATCGAATACGGCTCGCGCTAACGGCATTATCGGTTTTTCGTCATCAGCAGAAATCTATTCCAATCGTAAACATAATTGATTGCATTATGCTCTCTATATTCCAGAATTATCCTCGCTCTCGTAGAACTTGATTTTTTGCTTTTAAGTGGCGACAGGTACATTTAACGTTCTCGCAAATTCCTAAAGTATATAATTCTTCCTATTGAACGATGATTAAAGTAAAAGAAATGTTTTTATATAATTTACATCTTTACAATTTATGGAAACAGAAATAAAATTCGATATTTAAATGATATTCGATATTTATGACGAATTTCTAATGATATTTATGATAACACCAGCAAAATCCATCTTACTTATTCGCGTCGTGCTTTTTCACACTAACGCCTCGCAGCATCACGATGCAGAGCAACTTTCTTAATAAATGTCCTCAGCGCCCGTTATTTTATTATAAAATTGCTGAGTCTGTGATATGAAGTCACAACTTCTAATATCTTTTCACTTTGATTTAACCCTTTACGGCATAATATTGGACGTGTTTCGATGTATTCGTATAATTTCGCATTGTGAAACGTCACTCTCGAAATTAAATAACAAGTGATGTCTCAGTTGCAATCTGGATATGTTCGTATATTAAGTAATATATCGTCACTCGTCATTCTAAATGTCTTAGCTCATGAATTTCTGAAAATCAATCAGTCTATTAATCCACCGTTAATGTTTTTATTATTATTAACGCAGCCGTCAAATTAAATTGCAAGTGTCAATCTCGATCTGCCCTTTTGGATGTGTCGGGTCTTTATTTAAAATAATACTTTAGCATGTTATTATGCAAGAATAGAGGTACAAGAAATCTCGTAGGAAATTATTCTTAAGTATGCCAATACGTGCGCAGCACAATATAGACATTTACTTTTGAATCGCGTAACTCAACAGAACGTTGAACGCTTGACTCGAGTTTCGCTTCTTTTTTTGGGGGAGGGGGGGAGGAAAAAGAAACCTTTGCGTGTTATGACAGCACTATGAAAGGACTTTAACAAATTGCCTTTTAACGACCTGATACCGAGCCATTTCGTCCTTCCCCGGACGCATTCCGCAATGAGCCCGTGCAGCGTATGGACAGTTAATTTAACGTAAACTTTAGCCTCTCGCAGCATAAAATAATGAACATAATGAATTTGATCGAACGCCCATTGCCGCCATCGCGTCGTCGCCCCTTTTTTCCTCTCTTTTTATTTTTCCAGGGGATGAATTGTACACAGAAGGATCAGCGTTCATCTGCTGATTTTATTTCTGTCTATTACCGAAAATCGCAGCGGTAATGGCCGTATCCAAATTCCGATCTTACTTCGGCCACTCTCTTTCTTTCGCTTTCTTCCCTTAACTAGGAATCTAAAAAATTCGTAAAATGTGAGAGATTTGATATACCTTCGTAACTACGCACGCCCGACTTCAACATTGTTCGCAAATAAATTTTTGCTCTATTTTTCTATTCGAATAAAATGGTGATATTAAATAGACAG